TTTCACGGGCAGCAAATCTCATTTTCTGTCCGGGCAGAAAAACCTGGTCAAGAACCCACCAGCTGGTACTGGACAAGCCTAAATCCAGCAGAGTTAACCAACAGCCAGCCAGTCCGAGGCGTGTTTCGGTGAATTTTTTAGAGCCACATGCTCCAGCAGCAGCTCTGGCAGCTGTTGAAAGCTTGGAGAGTGAGGATTGGAACTTGGGGGTGTCCCAGCTCCCATGGAGAGGTGAGAATTACATGGGCGTCCAACCCTTCCAGTGAGGATTTATCAGGCAGGGTGATGTCTTTACAAAACCCTGCTCACCGCTCGCCCTGGGGGAGTGAGTTACTCTGGCAGCTTTTCCAACCTTAATAACCATTATTATCCCCATCCAAACCTGGCTGAGGAGTCGAGGGAGATGCTCTGCCCCTGCCAGGGCGTGCAAGTCAACAGGAAATCCTACAGAAGGCAGAGGTGGTTGGTAGAGCCACAGATAAAACTCACATTCAAATCGATGAGTTTGCAAATCTGGGTGCAAGATATACATCTGATGTGCCCTTTCAAATTGCTGAGATGATTCTTTTTCTGTTTTACAGCTGAAAACCCCAGATACGTTGTCTACAACAACATGGCTTGATCAACCTAGGCTGGCTAATTGTCAACTTAAAGCGATAAATGCTGATACACGCCCTTGAAGTAACGTCTCTTGGGCCAAAAATCCACTTTTATTCAATTAATTCCATTCGTTCTATTTATTTAATTAATTTCCCAAATGGTTCGTGTCGGGTAACCTGGATTTATTTATTTGTAGATTGGGTGATTCAATGCCCCACGACAAGACAACCGGGAAGAGGAAAACTGGTATTGGGAAGGGCAGTGTTGGTTTTTGAGGATGAATTATGGTGCTTGAAGAGAATCTTCACAGAATCTTCACAGAATCTTAGTGGTTGGAAGGGACCTCTGAGATCATCGAGTCCAACCACAAAAAGAGGGACATGAAGTCAAGAATAAAAATGTGAAGGAACGAGGAGAGGGCAAGAATATTAAAAACCCTAAAGAGCAAATTCTGTAGTGCTGTTTTGAAAGGAAACTTTTAGTGTTGAAAAGTGGCTGATAGTGGTGAACTAGGAAAAATTTGGGTGGATACACCCAAAAGGAGGTTTGGCAGCCCAACTGCGTGGCGCAGGCTTTGGGGTCAGGCAGGAGCATGCTTCACTCCTACCCTAAAACAAACCAAGATATTTCCTGGTTAAATAAATAGCTATTACATACTCTTGTCCTAAGAAATAATGATTTTAAATCCTGGAAATGAAAAAAAGAAAGCAAACCAAAAAAACAATCAACACACCTACATTATTTTTCCCCTTTTTTTGGGTGGGAAATGAATATACATAAAAAGTTGGGGTACCTGGAGTAGCAGGTACCTGGAGGGGGCCTCCAGGAGAGATGGGGAGGGACTCTTGATCAGGGCGTGTAGTGATAGGATGAGGGGTAATGGCTTCAAACCAGAAGAGGGGAGATTTAGATTAGATATTAGGAAGAAATTCTTTGGTGTGAGGGTGGTGAGACACTGGCCCAGGTTGCCCAGAGAAGCTGTGGGTGTCCCATCCCTGGAGGGGTTCAAGGCCAGGTTGGATGGGGCTTGGAGCAACCTGGTCTGTTGGGAGGTGTCCCTGCCCAGGGCAGGGGGTGGCACTGGGTGATCATTAAGGTTCCTTCCAACACTAACCATTCTATAGCTCTAAGAGAAGGTTGCCCAAGACCTTCTGGCTGTTTTCCTTATCTCCCTCCTACAGCAGTGGATTTTGCTCCAAAGGCTGCAGCTTACCACGGCCTGAGCAAACACCATTTATTTCTCTTATCCACTAAAAAAAACCCCACAAAATTAAAAAAAGGGGGTTGTTTCATGCCTGGGCTGGGCACACCAGGGATTTACAGGCTTCCTGGAGAGCATTTGTAATGGGGAAACCTTCCTGGCTGCAGTCAACTTTGTATATAAAGCAACCTATCTCAAAAATTCACATGTTTTCAGCCCAAAATGATTGAAAAAGGGATGGCAGCTTCAACACTTTCCCAAAGAGGGCAGAAAGGCCGTCATTTCACGTAAAGTTTTAGTTCATACTTTCGGTTCTTGAAAAAGTCGCAAGGTATTTGCATAAAAAACTCGAGGACAAACAGGGGAGGAGATGGGCATACCCCAAAGGATGGCCTCCAAAATGCCCCATAACAGCCCAAAAGGTGTTTTATAGGACTGCACGGGTTTAAAACTGCTAATACACAACTTCTAGGCAAAAATCTATTTGGAAATAAGGAGATAATGGGAATAAAGAGGAAACTGCAGCAAGTCCCTGGCAAAATGAGCGTCATTGATGTCCTGACTCTAGCTCCTCGGCATCACATGCCATGACCACATGGGTGATGGCATCAAGGACTTCTGAGGAACATCATACCAAGGGCAGGGCAAAAATTGGGTTCTTTTGCCCACGTCAGCAAAACCTCACAGACTACATGGAAAACTACAAAATCAAATGGTAACAAGGAGAGTGAAGAAATGCTGTGTGAGTCAGAGGGAGCTGAGGCAGGTTCCAAGTGATTTATTCACCTTTTAATTATTATTATTTTAACCACCAAAGCATAAATAAAAACATAGTGAAGGCTTTACACTTTGCTGGTTAAAAATTATAGGTAAAGGCCTATATGTCCAAGGACATTTGGACCAAGAATCCAACCAAGGCCTGGTTGGATGGGGCTTTGGGCAACCTGCTCTAGTGGGATCTTCAAGGTTCCTTCCAACCCAAACCATTCTATGATTCTATGACCTTTGCAACCAGTGTATTGGAGCATAAATGCACTTAAACACAGCAACAACATCTCCAGTTTTACTGCAGAAATGCTGGAGTATACAGTCAAGTCTATTAATTCATATTTTTCTGATTTTTTCCGTCGCTTCACTAGGAAGCCTTCTAAATCCAAAATCGATCTTTAAAATGTGAATGTCACCAAAATAATGATTGGATATAAATGGCAGCAGGGGAAAAAAAGTATATTCACTGATTTTCTAGATAAAATATATAACAAACTTTGCAGAAAGCAGAATGCAAATGCTAAAGCTTATGTAAAAATATGTAAATGAGGCACAAGGCTTGTAAAAACCCAACAGAGAAAGAGAGGGGTCTCCCCAGCTTCCAAGGGAGGCAGAGATGCTCTCAGGTGGCTGGAGAGCTTGGAGCAGCCTTGCCCAGGAGCCATAGGCAAAGGTGGGAAGAAATGAGGGTGAATCTGGTTTTATTCCATCCTGTTTGGCCCCTCCTTGTGCCTTGACATAAAGTCTGAGCTTCTACAAGGCATCTAAAGCTGCTTGAAAGTCTGGAGAACCCGGATGGTGGCATTGCATCCCTCTGACCTTTGGGGACCAGCCTTTCTGCTCCATCCGTGAAGCACCGTGGACCATCCCTGCTGCTCCCTGCTCCTGCTAACGAGGCCCCAGGGTTGCCCTTTGCAACGTCAGAAATAAGTCCCAGGTGATTCCCTTCCCAGCTTTGATTTTCCACGCTGGGCTGCTGGGTTTCAGCAGAGTCTTCCTCCCCCAATTAGAGTTGTTACTATTTCCTATCCCAGGCTGAACAGTCTGCCCGTTTCTGAGGGTGGTGGGGAATATATTTTATCTTCACCTTCTCCCGGGAAGAGGGGAAAAAGGCAAAATATGGATGGTCTCTCTCATTAAGGAGAATCTTTAGCAACATTGTGGTGTAGAACAGGACCTGAAACCAACTCTTGGGATGATTTTTCTGTGCTGTTCACGCTTCTTCTGAAAATCAGGCAAAATGGGAGGGGGGAAGTCAGTAACATGGTAAAAACTTGCTAGACTTCCATCTGAGAACTTCAAAGGCAGGACGGAGGTGGGACAGGCAGGGGATGGAGACAGGATGGAGGTGGGATGCAGGAGAGAATCAGGCAGGATGGAGACAGGACAGTGGTGGGACACAAGCAGGGTGGAAGCAGGTTGGAGGAGGGAAGCAGGTGGGATGGAGGATGGATGGAGGCAGGTTAGAGAAGGAAAACTAGATGGGATGGAAGAGACTGGAGGAGGGATGGAGGCAGGCTGGAAGGAGGGAACCAAAAGGGATCATAGAATGGTTTGGGTTGGAAGGGACCTCAAAGATCATCCAGTTCCAACCCCCCTGCCCTGGGCAGGGACACCTCCCATCAGCCCCATCCAGCCTGGCCTTGAACCCCTCCAGGGATGGGGCAGGATGGAAGCAGGATGGAGAAGGGAAGCAGGCAGGACTGAGGAGGGATTTAGGCAGGTTGGAGAAGGAAAGCTAGGTGGGATGCAGGTGGGGAGGCTGGAGGAAGGAATTAGTTCCCAGAAGGGAACTAAGAGGGATGGAGGTGGGATGGAGAAGGGAAGCAGGTGGGATCCAGGTAGGCTGGAGGAGGGAAACAAGAGGGATGGAGGTGGGATGGAGACAGGATGGAAAAGGGAAGCAGGCAGGCTGGAGAAGGGAATCCAGAGGGACGAGGAGGGAAGCGGGCGGACTGGAGGCACTCTGGAGAAGGGAATCCAGACGGATACAGGTGGGATGGAGGAGGGCAGGAGGCAGACGGGAGGAGGGAATCAAGAGGGATACATGGAGAAGGGATGGAGGCAGGATGAAGGAGGGAAGCAGGTGGGCCGGAGAGGGGAATCAAGAGGGATACACGGAGGTGGAATGTAGGTAGGATGAAGGAGGGAAGCAGGCAGGCTGGAGGAGGGAATGCAGAGGGACGGGGAGGGAAGCGGGTGGGCTGGAGGCACTCTGGAGAAGGGAATTCAAATGGATACAGGTGGGATGGAGGGGGGAATCAATAGGGATACATGGAGAAGGGATGAAGGCAGGGTGGAGGAGAGCAGCAGGCGGCCTGAAGGAGGGAACCAAGAGGGATGGAGGCGGGAAGCAGGCAGGCGGGAGGAGGGAATGCAGAGGGCTGGAGGAGGGTATGGAGAGCGCCGGGGCGGTCCGGGGGCGGGCAGCCGGCAGGATGCTGTCACGCCGGGGGCGGGCCGGGGCCGGGATGACTCAGCCGCCGGGAGCTGCCCCTTCCGCGGCCGCCGGGGGATCGCGGGGACTGCGCGGGGCCGTGCGGGGCGG